AGATTAACTGCGTCATTTCCTGAGTGGTTAAAGAGCTCGGGAAATGACCCCAGAAGATAATCCTTTTCGAAGCAGTTGCATCTGCCCGTAACAGTCTTGCTGTGTCCAGTATTTGCTGCTCGGAGACTTTGATCGCTCGGTCTGCCGCCAAGTGAACTGGGGAGTTCAACATAAGGGCGTTGAGTTTGGCGGCCTNGCCTTCAACCTCCCTAGTTCTAAGGCCTGTTCCTGAATTATGCCTAGCATTTCGGCCTGTGAAAGAGTTTTATCCATGACCAACACAGGTTCATCTAACCTCATCGGGAGGGTGTTCTCGTCGGAGGATCCGAGAGAGGTTTTGTCAGCCATTGAATGGTTGGACGGTATGATAAAAGATTTTATGCGGGTTGGAAGGAAATAATTGGAGCTGAGTAAGTATAAAACTTGTGGGAATACAAAAGCCGATAGCGAGGTTAAATTTTGAACGTACCGCGTCTCAAGTTCAGTTTTCAAGTAGCTTTCTGTGGTAGATCTACGATCGGGATATTGGCAAGTACCAATAAAGGATGCTGGTTGAGAGAAAACGGCGTTCACAGTCGGCAATAAACAACATCAGTTCAAACGAATGCCATTCGGATTATCAGGAGCACCATTTTCATTCCGCCTCCTCATGTTGAAGTTACTCGAAGGTGTCCCCAACGTGGTAGTCTACAGCGACGATATTGTTGTCTACAGTCAAACAACAACCGAACACACATTCCACTTGGAAAATGTTCTGAAAAGAACCCAAGAATTTGGCCTTCGGATCAATGCATCGAAGTCCCGAACTGGGAAGCCGACAGTGACTTTACTCGGACACAAGGTTGGAAACGGAGAAGTGAAGCCACTCCCTGAGAAAATCCTCAAGCCAAAGGAGTTTGCACGCCCAACATCAAAAAGAACATTAGGACGGTTTCTGGGCTGTGCGGCATACTATAGCCGGTTTGTTAAAAACTTTATGAACATCGCCGAACCGTTATAGGCCTTACTCAAAAAGGAATATCGCTTCAGATGGACACCAGAAGCCCAGAAAGCCTTCGATGAACTCCAAAGGATTATGACCGAACAACATCTGACACTGAAGTTGCCAGTAATTGGCAAGCACTTTACAGTGGTAACGGATGCCAGTGACGTGGGTATGGGAGCCGTACTCAAACAAGCAAGTGGAGTGGTAGAATACGCAAACAGAGTCCTTACTCCAACGGAAAGGAAATATTTCACCACGGAAAAGAATGTCTTGCTATCGTTTGGGCCGTGGATAAGTGGCGACCATACCTTCTTGGTCAAAGGTTCCATATAGAAGCAGACCACAAGCCGCTGGAGTGGGTTGAAACCACCAAGGATCCGAGAGGAAAGCCAGCCAGATGTGCGCTTCGCCTTCAGGAGTACGACTTCACGATCAATCATGTTGCAGGTGCCGAAAACTGTATGGTGGATATTTTGTCTCGTCAAGAGGAAGCAGATTTCTTCACTGTCAGTATGCTGGCAGCGGGACAAGACCCACAAGAATTGGTGAAGGAAGAGCGCAAGGAACAAGAACTCCGCAAAGTAATCGAGACAATCTCACAAGGCAAGCAATACCGAAACATTCAACATAGTACACACATGNGCCGCTGGTATCTTAATAAAACTACAACCAAGAAGAAGGTGCCCTGTGGTCGTCATTCCTAAACAGCTGCGCTAAATCCTTATCAAAGAAATTCATGAACTAGCACACACTGGATGCTCTCGAACCTACGATATGCTTCAACAGCGGGCATATTGGCCAAATATGCAGACTGGTGTAAAACACCGCGTCCATGCATGTGAAAAATATCAACTGTTCAAGCCAGACTCCCACCCATCACAATGCCCAATTCAGTCAATACCGGTATCTGGGATCGGCTAGTTGTGGTCCATCAACC